GAGTTAGCAGATCCAAAATATTATAATTAAAGAGTTGAAAAAAAAGTAAATGAAATCATAGAAAGAGGTGGAATTTTTATAAAACAATGAATAGCAAGATGAATCATATAAATAAAGTGGAAAGTTATGATCTATAGTACAAATAAAATAAAATACCTCACGAATTTTTGAAGGGAGAATCATAACGAGAGGAAGAAAAAAGTTACAAGAAGAAAAGCCCGGCTTCAACTAAAATTAAAAGTTTACGATATATATTACAAAGGAAAAAAAGGAAAAATAAATTTCCTCTGTTAATTCCCTTCAGTTGGCCGTTTACCCCAGCAATACGTGTATATATGTATAAAAATTTCCCAGCTACCTAGCTTTTGTACAAATACTTAACTCTCAAGAGATTTAAAATATCGCCGGGGGAGAACATCTCAACCCTCACGCGAATTGTTCCATAAATAGAAAATAACAAAAAAAAATAGAATTTTCCGTTCTAATCTCAGGACGGTCTCCCGCGTCCTATCAGTGGTCACCCTAATGATTATATTAGGCCATTGGTTTAGAGTTCTTCATTAAAAATATGTCTTTTATTTTTTCTACCGTCCAAGTTCGAATACTTTGAAAAGTAGGAATCCTGGAACGGCCTGACCTCTTTTGATGCAAGGTTTCGAGTTCTAGACGAGATCTCGCCGCTAGCAATCGACGAAAGGCTTTGCCTGCGATGAGAAAAGTTTACGTGTCTATTTGAAGGAGTTGAAACTTCAAGATCATCTGCGAATTTCACATGATGAACTGACGTAGGTGAGGAAACTCTAATATTCGTTTCACTTGAATTTGGTGATATCGGAGAAGGGGTGGTGGAACCTTCTGTTGAAGATGAAGTGGTCACGATGTTCAGAGAACCTTCAGACTTTTTTGACCCGGAAGTTAAATCCCTTGGTCGAGCGTCGTACAAAGGAGAGACAGATTTTGCACGCGGAGGGAAATTCTCAACAGCTTGCAGATTATTCTGGTTAGAATTCAAATCTCCCTTTAGATCATTTTTGAGTTTTTGCGGTGTTTTCGGGATGTCACCTTTATTGACAAAGTTTCGAGGCGGTAGTTGAGCGAGAGGAGGAGGCCGATGACGATCGTGTCCAGCTTTTCCTCCAGGGGCATTGCCATTTAATTTTCCACCACTACTGTACGTATATGATCTCTCTCGTCTGATATTAGGCCATGGCTTCGGTGGGGAATTGGCGGTCGATTTTGAATGAGATACATTGTTAGGAGGGCTAACAGGTCCACTGGAGAATGTATACGATCGCTCTCTGTTGTGCGCCTTGTTACGTTCGCGACTCTTACTACCCTCGCGATTTGAACAGGACCTAGCGTCCTGAATCGAATATCTCGCATCTTGTGGCGAATACCTGACATCCTTGGGGGAGGAAAGATTTGTTGTAGTGGTGTATATTCTATTGACGTCCTTGTCATCTCGTTGATTCAGATTAGAATTGCTAATAGGTATGGGCGAAGTCGCACAACGTGCATTATTCGAAAGAGTTTTTCTACCTCCTTGAGCTGCCGTAGGCTGAGCATCTTGCATATGAGCCATTGCTCTTTTTATGGTAGATGATGGAACCGAACTGTTGAGAGCTGAATCACGAAGATTGGGTGTGCTTCGTTTAATAAATTTCGATGCCAAACCGTTTGTACGTATGTTTGGAATGCTCCTCCTCGGACCCAGTGGAATATTTTCGTTGATTCCAATGTAATATTGATCAAATTTATTATTCGGCGATGATACACGGGCGGGAATACCACCTTTGTCATGATCCGTAGATCCTGATGGAATGGTGGATGATAAAGGAGATGGAATAGAAGGCCTCCTGGTTTGCAAGTCTCTCCATTCGCGGCTCGCTTTTGCAGTCAAAGAACGAGATCTTTCTCCAGAATATTCATGATTACCATCAACCCCATTGCGAAAAGCAGGCGACCTGGTTTTGTCAAACCATGGTACCTTCGATTTTCCATTTCCATCAGTTGATATCAACACATTTTCATCGTGGTTTATCCATCCATCGGTTTCACCTCCGAGGCCACCATCGAAACCCTTAAATTCATCATCAGCATTATCCATCCAAAAGGCCGACTCGTTGACCGGAGTCGATGGCACAGAATTAACTTCTTGGCTATCAACATTATCTTCATTCCACGAGCGTCCATTTTTCCAGGCATTCTCAAATTGACGAACTTCATGGTCCCATAATGCAGCAGGATCTTGAACGGTATTCCATGAGCTTTTTACAATAGGACGTTTGACGTATGACGACCTTCGGACATTTTCCGGGCGCTTGCCACGTTTTTCATAATCACGACCGTTGGGATGACTAAGATTGTCTACTTGACCAGGATCGCGATGAGGTAATGAGTATGTACGTGACGGAGATTTCTGAAACGACATCGAGGAAGTCAAAGAGTTCGAACGCTCGCTGGAACCAAGGCCGGATATGTCATCTTTATTTTTAGTCTTGCACGAAGAATTCTTGCTTCGTTTGTAGAACGGCGAAGGAGGTGGAGATCCGAGAGTCAGATCTTCGTCATAATCCAAAATGCAACGTGGAGGCTTTATCGTCAGCGGAGATTGGGATCTGTGGTTACGATTTCGTGGAGACATTGGACGATCGTCGTCAAAGAACCATTGAGATTCTTGAACAACCAGCTCGGCTTCTGATCCTTTTCCCACCGTAGCACTATTAAAAGTAGGTAATACAAAGATGACTTTTTTTGGTTCCACCGACTTTGGATAAATCGAAAACCTCAATTAAAATCAAATAAATAAATATATACATACGCTAACAATTCCCGTAGATGATTATAATCAGGCTCTTGATCGAATCCCAAACTTCTGGTGTACTGAGTGTAAATCATGAAACCCCGAGGGAACCCTTCGTATAACTCATCAAGGGGAGTTTCCTCTTTTATCTTTTGCATCTTAGCCCATCCTTGTCGCGAGTTGCGTGCAGTGACTCCCGCCCAAGGAAGATCACCGCGTAACATCTCAAGCAAGACGTATCCGAGTGATTCCAAGTCGTCACGACGAGTGTGTGCTGTGAAGAGAAGCAGATGTCGATAAGTGCCCATTGCGATTCGTAATACAATTCGGAATATAAGTTCGTTCGATTGTTTGCTTACGTAATCCACGATGAACGCCAAGCGCTGCATATCGAGCCGTACCGGTCTTGTTTTTTATCGGAGATTGACTCTTACAGATGTGCTTTCCCGTTTCCGGATTGATGTAGTATGTTGAAAGCCCTATCATATGCGAATTTTACTTTAGTAAATTTACAATTCCAGAATTACTTCAGAGCAAATTTCTGCGAGAGAAACAAACCAAAATCCACGATGTTCATGCGATGTTTTCTTCCTACAAGCAACTTGTGGTCACGGAGCTTTGATTCAGGAATATCATCATCAGAATCGTAAATGGAAAGTCGACTTATCGGTAGTGGAAAGTCTCTCTCCAGAAGAAAATTGTCAGGTTTCATGTCTCGATAGACGATACCACGTTTGTGCACATACTCCAAGATTGTGACCTGAAGGACACGAGCAATTCAATCACATTCATTTTTGTCGGACAGTTGAAATTAATCAAAACGCCAATTCGGAAATGCAATATCGCATACCATTTGCTGAGCTATGTCACTCACGAAAGCTATGGGAAGCGCCCCGTAGGCTTGTCGAAGCAATCTCAGATTAGGCCCAAGTAAATCAATGACCATGGCATTGTAGATACCTTCTTCTCCAAACCAGTGTACTTTCGGTATGAAACCTGATTAAGAGAGAGAATCATTACCACAAAGAAAAAAAAAGAAGTTTTAAATTGCTCGTCAAAATTAATACACACATGCTCCTTCAAGCATTTTGAGAACTTCAACCTCATGTGGTAGCTGAGGATGGTCTATTTTGATTAATTCCCGCTTTATCGCATAACGCTCTTTTGTAGTTATATGCACAGCTATAAATGCAAAGGTGAAGAAGGATAAGAATCAGTTTTCATAACAACAATAGAATTTCTCGTTATGCGAAATTATCTACGCTTAATGAACCGTCGAACAAACGGGAAACCAAAAGGGACATGCGGACCAACAATCTACACGAAGACGTAAAAACCAGAAGTCTAAGCTACATTTATTACCCAGTAGGCGTTGCTTCCAGTGACCTCTTGTGATATATATATATATATATATATATTTTTTTTTTTTTTTTTTTTTTTTTTTACAGCAACTTTTTTAGGCAAAAAATAGAAACTTCTCCCGGAGATGGAAAGAATGAAAATACAGGTTTCACGCAACCCTGCGTGAGGGAAAGAAAAAAAAAAAAAAAAAAGCTTGGAGAAAGAAACCTACCTCGAAAGACCTCACCGAAGGATCCCTCTCCGATTTTTTCTTCGACCAACCAATTTCCACCCACAACAACGTCGCCTCCTCCCATTATAGGTAGAATAATGAAAAAAGATGCGTGAGCAAACCGCAAGTAGGCGGATATTGGTCTTTCAAATTAAAATCTTTGAGAGCTCGTGTGGAGAAAGTCTATCGAGCTCAAATTATATGTGATAGCAGGAAAAGGAATGAATTCAAGACTAGAAAAGTTTCGTCGATTGGAGACAGGTTGAAAAAAAAAAAAAAAAAGTTTTGTGTGAAGTAGAATGAGTTGAAGTGGGATGTTTGTGTGTGGAGTGAAAGTAAAAAACTCAAGCACACGAAGAACTTGTGCCTTAGAGGTGTTTGGAATCAACACGGTAATTGGAAAGAGCTTGAGTTAAGCACAACACACAACTGAGTCAGCACTTCGGTTTATTCCAAGTCAGTATTTAGAAAAGAGTGGGAAAAAAAAAAGAACACGGATGAAAAATGATAGAATGTATGCGGCAGGGGTTGTGACAATGTGACATTTGGTGAAACTACCCAATAAGAGATAAGACCGGTCGTCGTGTTTTTTTGAAATTTCTAAATGTAATTATTTGTATTTCCACGCCTCGAAGATGAGTTACAATATTTATAGAAAGGAATTCGGGTTATTTTTTGGTTGTGTTTACAGTTAAACACGTATAAATATTACTTTACTGCTCACCCGACGCCTTGTGTATACATTATATTATGTATGTTTACACAATGATCGGAATAGGGAAAATTATATTGATCAACTACTTTTTATACTAATTATTGTATAAGAAAAAGAATTCTTTAGAACGCTAATAAACAAGGGTCAAATCACACAATTTGAATTTCTCTCATTTCATTCAGTGTTTCATCATATTCTGACGATAGTCGTCCAAAAAAAATTCAATAAACGTATGATACGTATGATACGTATGTACTGTAAATACAGTATATCTGTGATTAAAAATATGCACATAATGTGATCGAAAATAGAAAATTGTAGCACGAGAGGCAAGGATTGATTTTGGGATGCATATCATGTACACCCAAGAGTTTTGGTTTCGCCCCTATTCATTGGACTTCACTTAAATAAGCATAAATTTTCAATGCAACACTACTTGAGAAAAAAATAAATCTTCCATTTGTGCACGTTACATATTACTGTGCATACGTATGCTCCACATGAATTACGAATATTGGTGAATTGACGAGATGGGTAAGATTCGGTCGGTGCGTCAAAAACATGTCGAAAATCCTTAGGTGAAGTCAACGAACGATCCGAACCTCACTCACGGGTTGACTTTCTTCCCGTGTGTATCAATCGTCATTATGGGCAAGGCACTTCCAATTGGGTCTTCTTTACTTCCACCAAAGAAAGGGTTGTTCCGATTCGCAAAAGGGAATTGGAAGAAATTTTAGAATAATAGAATGCAATGTAACAATAACTATAAAAGGATCAAAACAGCGATTTTTGTGACGTGAATAGTGAATTAAAGACGCGACTCAAAACGTCGAAATGGAAATTATCAAACCCACCTGGTGACATTTTTATCGCCCAATTTTCCGTTCTTAGCTTATCAACGCCGGCATTAGAAAAACCGCGCGAATTAATTGAAACACAATTAATGAAAAAAACATGATGCACGCCACAAAGATTCCATTTTTGCCACATGCGCACAATGCGCTGGTAATCTTCCATTCTGCAATGGGTTGGTCACAGGTTTCTTGTAAAGAACTTTTTTGCATATGAATTTGTTGAGACGAGAAAATCGGCTCATGTCACGTAATTACCCGTCCATCACCTACCCGACTGAACCCTCGGTTATTTTCACCTTCGGGTTTCGATCCTGTTCTTCACCATTTTGGCAACTGTTTACTCGTAACAACTGAAAAACAAACTGTGATCAAGCCTTGTTGCAACAAGCGAAAGGTAACACTGCACCTCCTCGCTTGATTTTGATAAGTGGCTCATTTGTTGTATCGCTTTGTATAATGGTAAGAATTTCTTTTTTTTTCGATTTTATTACTGCAAAGTCACAAAAGCCTCTAAATAATCTCTTGCACTTCCAGGTTCATGCTCTCTTTTGGCCTTCCGAATTTGGAAAATCATAAAAAATTTTATACTCAATAGTATCGACATTCCAATTACGGGTTAATATTGCATCAGGGCGACTAGCGATTTCACTTTGTGTGAACACAATGATATTCTCGTGGCTGGAATGTTCAAGCATGGACTGTACAGGATTTTAAAATATTGTTGATAATAAAAAAAACATTTACGTATATAGTTAAGCAACAATCAACAAAATCTGAGATTGAATGATGCAAGTTCTGAAAATGATGAATCCGAAGTTGATGATTGTATGAAGGAAATATATCATAGAAAATTTTAAATTAATTAAAAAATGTTTTATATAAAAAAAGATATTTACAAAAGTTTTCGAATTCCTATATTAGTTTTTATACTTTTTCAAAATAACATGAGAAAATGGTTTCAAAACTATCTATTATTATTTTTTTTTATCTTTATTAAAATTTAATAATTAAATTAAATAAAAAATTCTTTTTATTAAAAAAAGTAAACTAGTTTTCAAACAAAACCAAAATCTTGTTTTAACAAATTTCAACATATAAATAATGTAATAATTAATTTAATAATATTACTAGAACAAGTCAATAGAACTTTTATACTAATCAACTTTTATTTTATTTTTTAATTTTTAAAAAAAGAAATATTTAAATTGATTTTTTTAATCTGCAATCATGTCACAATGGCATGTCTTTATTGAGATATTGAAAGATATCACAAAGTTTACAAACTTTCACAAAGTGACTAACTTGTTATTGTATATTATTAGTTAAAGGACTATATTACTTAAAAATATAATAAGTCTATTAAGCTAGTTTGAATTAAACAAAACTAAATCTAAATTAAGTACTCTAAATCAAATTTAGGAAACAATATTACACTTTTCTGATAGCATAATATAAAATATCTAAGTCAACCAGAGTTATTGTTAACAATTTGTTACTATTAATTATACTGAAAAACAATGAATTGTTAAAGTCAGCATTGGAAAAAAAGAAAAAAGAGAAATATAATTCAATATCCTTTAAAAAGTTTTTACTCCATTTTATAGTTTCTCCTTAAAAAAGGTTTGTTTGATTGAGATACTATCTAAGCTTCATAATGTTTAAGGAATTTAATTATTTCTAAAGGTAATTTCAAAAAGAACATATGAGAAACTTATTCTTTTACCAATGTACAGACTCACTTAATACTATTGAAACCAATACTATATTATAAAAGAATTTGTCTAACTGAGATAAAAAAATCTTTTCAAAAACTTTGTCTAATTGATATAGAAACTTGGTGATTTCAGTTTTTGTTTAATAAAGTCTTTTCATTACCTAAAAAACTTAATGAAAGATAGAGATTAAATCTTCTTTTTCTATCTGTCACTTACCTTTTGATATTATAATTATTTCCTAAAGATTAAATATATACAATTGAAGGGAACACTTTTTTTAAAACTTTCTTTTCTATATTACCAATAATATATTGAAACACATGAATATAACTAATAAAAATTTTATTTATATTCTAAAAATTGATGTGTTTCATATTAACCAATCATATTTAGTAAAAATTTATGCTATTCAAAATTTAGGATCAAACTGAGATAGGCAAAATTTTCTAGAAAACTATAAAAAGCAAAGTTCTAAAAGGATAAAACAGTCAAAAAGGAAAAAAATAAACCTTTTTATTGCAAAAAACCTCTATAAACCTCTTGCTTTAAAGGTTAAAAAGGTCTTTAAATACTTTACAGTTAGTTCTTTTTCTTTAAAAACTTTTTTGCTATTGATATCAAAAATGTTACTTGATTTTTCTTGATCACTAGAAATCAAGTTTTTGAGTGAAGAGTTTTATAGATAATAGGGGAAAAGTAAAAGTAACTCTTAAAGTCATACTTCAAGTTGTTTTAAGGAAAGTATTAAAACTTTATTAGTAAGAAAGTATAAAAACTTTTTACAAATATCTTTTTTGTATATAGTCAGAGGATTAATGGAAAAAGATATATAATATAAAATATTTAAGTTAATTAATTATAATAATAATAATAAATTAATATTAACTTCATATACTGTAGATGGGTCCTTAAAGAGGGAAACAGGGACATAAGTCAAATGTCCCTCACTAGGAAACATTAAAATGTTTAAATTAATAACTATAAAAAAACTACTTACAATTGTTCTCTATTATCAAAATCATTGATTTATAATATTTCCTGACTTTTGTCCCTATTAAAGTAAAGAGCCATAAATTTTATCCCTCAAAAAAAAACATAAGTGATCTGCAAAATTTTATATACTAAATACTTTAGGGACCCATCATTACCTATGGATCCGTAGTGCAGTGGTTAGCACTCCATAGATTATATCACAAGATCTGTAAATCAAATCCTCCAGGGAGTAAAACCTCTGAAAAGCAGATATTGATCTGATCCATTGGCATAACTGTAAATTAACTGATGTTTCATGTATAGCTGTGATCACTCAAAGACTCTGTCACCAGACTGTGGTTACAGATCAGTACTATACAAAATTGTGATATGGTTGAACGTCTGAAATCAGGTAGGATTATCCTTGGCGCAACTGTATTACAATATATGGTAATAAGAAGAGTAGACATTAAAACCAGTAATATGCCACTGAAAGACAGGTGATAAACAAGTCAACACTTTAATCGGAAGGTAAAAAAAGGTTCTTCCAGCCAATCGCTTGGACTTTTATCAAGAATTCAAGCATGTGGCTGTACCGAGTTTTACAGACTTAATTATCGGGAGGCCTTGATGGGAGGCAAAAGCCGTGGACCACTCTGAAGGATTGAAAACTGGGTTCAGGATAAAAAAAATTCGACAGCCTGATAACCAGACTACTCTTTATAAAAATGATTTGGGAAAAATTAAGAAGAAATCGCATATCTTTTCGATAATAGGGTAAAATCAGTAGTAATTATACATATAGTAAAATAGATATAGTTACTCATAT